TTTTGTTACATCATATAATTTTTTTTTAAGTTATTACTTCTTTTCTCATGAACGCATAGAGGTATTAAATTGAGTTTGTACGGAACCCTCGGTGCGCAAGTCCAGCTCGCACTTGGCCGATTTTTTAAGCATGTAACTGCTCGATGTATAAATAAATCTAAAGAAAATATTACTAGAAAAAATTCCACGCCGCAAAAAACAAGGTACACAGTAGCATTTCCCCCTAATTACTATAATGTTAGTGCCCATGAAAGATGCAAAACAATTTACAGTATACTAAAGAAAATTTTACTGTAAAAAAATCCGCGCGATCCAGGCAGCAGACGGGATTCGAACCCGCAACCTTTTATATATATATACCATTATGCTACAAATGTTTAATACTTATAAAGGTATATATAATTACAGTATCCATCGTCGCCAATCCCCGCCAATGCCCTGGGGTTAAAATGTTTGCATTTTGTAACGTAAATCACAGGACTTGAATACAAAGATTTCTATCGGGAATTTTCGAATTTGATAACAGTAACCCTACATTGGGCGTGCACCCCCGCCTGGGGTAACGCGTAGTAATTAGTGGCTCTCGGCACTGGCTCTCATTAACCCCGCCCGGCTTGAACAACTGCCGCTCTAAACGTTGGGAAACATACAGTGTTCAGTAAACTAAACAGGTGTATTGTTGAGTGCACGAAATTAAAGGAAGATCAGTTGGCGGACGGGACTCGAACCCGCATCCTTCGCTATCCGGGCGAATGCACTGACCATTATGCTACCACGGCCCTATTAGCCGCGTCGAAATTTTCCTAGCCTCAAGCTGCAAGGCAGCGCCATCCCTTCGCATTGTAGGTAACCCACAATGTCAAACGAATACTTTTTTAAGTATTAAACATTTGAAAGAGGTATTTTTCTAGTAAACTTTTCTTTAGATTTAAACATCTAGCAGTTAAATGCTTAAAAAATAAATAAAATCATAACTAGAAGATCAGTTGTATATTATTTTGAACTTTCATGGTCACTAACATTACACAGGATGTAAAAAACCTACGACAAAGACTTAAACTACGCATTCTGTACACCCAAACATGTCATATTACAAAATATTGTACGTGGGAAAAATTTGTATTTTTATTTATTTATTCTTTATGCACAAATGTACAATGGCGGTTTTATGCCGTAGGCATTCTCTACCAGTCAACCATAGGATGTTGTGGAGATTATTAGTGATAGGGTGCACAACTGAAATGGAAATCACATGGAAAGAAAGTTTATAAAAATAATAATATATAAACACACACATACATAAGTTAATATATATAAATAAATACACAAATACATACATACTTCCAAAATAATGACGACAAACCACTCAATGAAACGCCTGTTCTAATAAAAAGCTTCGCAGTTTAGTTTTAAAGGTATATTTACTTATTTATTATTTTTAAGTTAAAAAAATTCATTTTTTTTCCAGTACGCAATGTATAGCGCGGCGCGCTACTGTGGCGCTACGCAAACAATGTGCCTGTGTGTATGTGTGTGCGTGTGTCTAAGTGCGTCGATAAAAAAGTTTCTAAATAACGTTTTGCAAATATTAATGTATAAATCTTGAAAAAAAATTTTGGCTTTGACCTTCAATATCTCCATAACCATAAATTTTCCAGGTATAGTCCAGAAGAAAAAAATGATCGTCATGACGTGGTCTTCGACTTCGTTATCGGTTTTTTTACACCCTGTAGTTATTTACGGGATTGTTACCATATACCTTGTTTCTAGCGAGTTTCCGTTATTTCGGCAGTGTTGCAAGCGCCATGATCACGGAGTAACTGAAACTACTGTCTGGAATTCTGTGGTTCGTATGTGTAAAACCGGAAATGATCAAAAAAGTGTCATACTGTAAGTGTTGTGTGTCTAGAACAGTTTCGAGTGAATAGTGAGAATGTGAACAGTGGTACACGGGTATCGAACGCAATAAAAGACTTCTTCGGAGGGTAGACCGATATGTCTGCCAATAACAGCCAACCCGCAATTACTTCAGTAACTCCGTGATCATGGCGCTTACAACAGTACTGAAATATCGGAAACTCGCTTAAAAACAAGGTACATGGTAACAATCCCGTTAATAACTTATATTACTGTAATGAAGATCAGTTGTTGTGTGAGCTTACGTTGAGTTTCAATTTTCTAATTTCTGAACATTGGCCGTAATGCTCGGGCCTTCCGAAGCACGTAAAAGTTCGATGGCGCAAGAATTTATCGCGATCGGCTGCGATCGTTGAAGTTAAGCAACTTTCACAGTGGTCGGTCATTTGATGGATGACCAAAACTTTACTATCTCGAGCAACAATCAATTGAAACAATCTTTGGCTAGTTCTTCGATCTAGATCCGGAACATGTTTCAGCGTATTGAATGTCAAAGTTATATAATTATAATGATATTGGTATTCAAAATACTACGAGTATTAATAACTCCCTAAGTAATAACTTCATCATCATCATCGACCCATGCTCGTCCACTGCTGGACATAGGTCTCCCCTAATGCACGCCACTGCTCCCGATTTTCTGCCACTCTCATCCAGCCCACTCCAGCCAGCCTACGAATATCATCATCCCATCTTGTCTCAGGGCGTCCTACACTACGTTTACCGAGTCGCGGTCTCCACTCAAGAACTTTACGGCTATATCGGCCGTCAGTTCTGCGGCTAATGTGACCAGCCCACTGCCACTTTAGTTTTCTAATTCGGTGGGCTATATCGGTGACTCTGGTTCTGTGTCGAATTACATCATTTCTGATGCGGTCCTTCAGGGATACTCCGAGCATAGCCCTTTCCATAGCTCTCTGAGCGACTTTAAACTCGTGGACCAGTCCAGCCGTGAGTGTCCACGTCTCGGCGCCGTATGTCATAACTGGGAGGACGCACTGGTCAAAGACTTTCGACTTAAGACATTAAGGGATGAGTGGCGAGAAGACTTGACGTAGCTTACGAAATGCTGACCAGCCCAACTGAATTCTTCTATTGGCTTCTCTCTCAAAGTTGTTTCTGCCTAATCGGAGCAGTACTCCACAAGTAATAACTTGTAGAGTATTAAATTTATGAACGAATAAACTAAATGACACTGCAGCATTTTCATCAAGAGAGATGCATCAACCGAAACGTCCTCAGAGAGAGAAGAGCTGTGTCCTTAAATTTAAGCTGCCACGCTAACTGAACACCGTGTAGGGTTGCTGCCTAGTTACGTAAATATTTATTCCCATTTTATACAGGCTGTAAAAAAAACCTATGAAAAAGACTAAAACTAGGCATTCTGTACACCCAAACAAGTAATATTACAAAATATTTATAGGTGGGAAACATTTGTAATTTTAAGTAAAAAAAAAATACTTTTTCTCTCTAGTACGCAATGTTATGTATAGCGCGGCGCGCTACTGTGGCGCTACGCAAACAAATGGGTCTGTGTGTATGCGTGTGCGTGTGTGTAAGTGCGTCGATAAAAAAGTCTCTAAATAACTTTTTTGTAAAAATCTGGAAAAAAAATAATGTGACTTTGACCTTCAATATCTCCATAACCATAAATTTCCCAGGCATGGTCCAGAAGAAAAAAATTATCTTCATTATGTGGAAAATACGTGGCTTTCGATTTGCTTACTTGATTTTCTTCATCTATCAGGTAGATTATGAAAAAGTATTGGACACGTATTTTTTCTTTATTCACATAATCAAAACTCTACAAAGATATATTGAATTGAAATGTCGCTTCACGTCACGTTTTTGTACAATATTTACTTAGAAGTGTTAAATCTAAAGCAAAGTTTTACAAGAAAAAAATCCACGCGGACCAGGCAGCGGACGGGACTCGAACCCGCATCCTTCGCAATCCGGGCGAATGCACTGATCAATTATGCTACCACTGCCCTGATGGCCGCGTCGAAATTTTCCTAGCCTTAAGCTGCAAGGCAGCGCCATCTCTTCGCATTGTAGGTAACCCACAATAACTAGGAAAATTTAGACGCGGCCATCAAGTTAAGAGTCCTGGACGGGTTATACACCTTTAGAGAAGAGATTGATAAATTAAGTCACTGGAGAATTTATTGAGGTAATTTACACTAGTAAAACAAAATCTATAAAATACACAGGAAAACTAAAGTCAATGTCTGGCGAAAGAATGGTTTACGTATAGTGAAAAGGTAAGAATGAGTACGTGCGGTTGGTAAGGCTACCGGATTGAAATTAATTATTAACTCAATATTTTATTATTACGAAACAATGAAATTAATAAATTATAAAGTAAAAAATGGCGCAGCGGGTCATATTGCTGACCCGTTAACCTACTTATTATGAGTTAAATTTATTTATTTAAACTTTATTATAACATTTGACAACCCTAGCTGTGAAATCTTAGTGTATTTCGCGTGAAGAGCAGGGGGGATATAACTTATTGGACGAAATGGAATTTCTTTGCACATAAACCGGGGTGGAGCGCGCCATGCGAGCTAGTCGGTTAACGAAAGTTCACGAACTTCTTTAAAATAGCGTATTTTAAAGAAGTTTTTGAACTATTGCGTAGCTAGCGATTTTGACGACAACTATACTGTCGAATCTAGAGCTCTATCGTTGATTAACTCGACTGATATAGTATCGTCGAATTTGACTTATGTCACCATCGACTTCTAAGTCGCATGATATTGATACTGATTTTCCGTGTTTTTGTATCTTTGATATCCAGTGTTGCTGGTTTAATAGGAAATATACTATTATATTCATGTAGTAAGTGGCTATTAATTACAATTATCTTTTGCCGCTGTAGGTAAATTAATTCGGAACTCGGAACTTGCTTGCTAGCAGCAAGATGTTCCGCGTTACGTGAATGTGTCGCAAATGTTGGGGGAGGTTGCAGCGTCACGTAGATTGAGCGCTGTACGTCAATTTGAGGGGCATGTTGTGCCCCTAATGTGTTGTCTCAGCAGTGGGACATCGTATGGCTGCTATAACGTCCGTCAACTCACCTGCATGCTTGGCGTATTGACTGGCGCGGGTCTGGCCACCAACAGGCGGACGCAGGCGCCACACTGGCGCAACACGGCGGCCGCCTGTCTCGCACACATCCCCACCACGCACACCGCGCCGATGCGGAGTAACATGTCGCCGCTGCGCAGGCGGCCATCCTGGAAACATAACCAGTGTTAGGCGTTTATAATTAGCGGCCCTACGGACTAAACAATAGGGATGATGACTATTTTTTTTTCTTCGTTTATCAGGTAGATTATCAAAAGGTATTGGACACGTAATTTTTCTTTTTTCACATAATATAAACATTGCAGAGTTATAATGATTTGAAAAGTCACATGACGTCACGTTTTAGTACACTTATAAGTGAAAATTCACTCAAAAGTGACGCCACGAGCCCCTACTCCCAAACTTTGACGCGCTACAACTTTGTCATTTTTTGGTTGATTGCCCAAAGAAAAAATACGTATCCATTATTTTTTGATCATCTAACTGACGGACTAAATGGAATTTCGTTTACTGTACCCCGTCATCACCCTTATTATTTAATTAACGGCATCAACACTAACGTGTTTACTACAGTGTCTATTGATTTGCGAACAATCTGTTGTCCTTCAAGGAGTTCAGTAATATGTCAATACCGTCAATGACCGCTGCTTGGTCGTTCTTTGGAGTTATTATAGGTCTTTCGCATAACCACTCTATTGATTTTCGTCACGTCTGGTTTTTTTCTTAAACAGGTTTTCAACCGTTGTTACTGAATTGCACATATCGGAAGGGACAGATATCATGCAACCTTTTTCTGTTCACTTCACCGTTACCCAGTTTTAGAAAAAGATTTGAAAATTAGCTAGCGCCATCACCGCCTAGGTGGATACTCATATCTCTTATCTATTAAATAAGTCCGTCCGTCCGTCCGTCCGTGGTGCTGTTTCAGCAAACCGTAAGAGATAGATAAAGAGAATGTTTAAGTTATAAGTTGAGAATAGTCTGATAAGACTACAAACCGGATGTGAGTAACGTAGCACTTCCGGTTTTCGAGAAATCACACACAAAATCTCCGAAGTTCTCAATTAATTAAATATTTTTTTTAATGACAAATTTGACAATCGAATAATGTAAATTAGTTATTTATTTAGTATTACATGGTTTATTTTGAAATGAATGAATATGATTGAAGATTCTGTATAGATATAATTTTAATCAAAAAAATATTTAATGGAATTATTTGTAATATAATTATATCATGGTATTTATAATTGTATAGTAAAGACCCCTATTTTAATTTAATTTAACTTTAATTTAGTCTTTTGTATAAATTGCATGCCATTTATGGTAAAATATGTAGAATCTATTTGTATACATGTCATCTTATTGTACCATATTTTTTGCAATAAATAAATCTAAATCTAAATCTACTTTTTTTTGTGAACATTTGGTTCACTGGTTTGCTAGTTTATTGTGAATGTTAAAATTTTAACTGAGGGGCACAATGGATGATCTTTTAAGTGTCGCCGCAGACGGGCCCGACGCCACAGCCACAAACGCCGCCACGAGAAGCAAGAAGCGGCTACTAAAGTGGCTGAAGCGCGCGACAGCGGCCGACTAAGGTAAGGGTGGGGAATCGCGCGAGTGACGTGCGGTTGCGTTTTGTATCGGCGCATTAAGTGGCCGGTGCGGGTCACAAGAAGCGAGCAACGACGATTTGTAGCGTGTGGCGGCTACCGGCGTACCGTGTGTGGCGAGTCCATATAAAATGTATGAAAACTACAATAAATATGCCGGTAGCGGCGTTTTGTGGTTGTGGTCGGTGGCCCGTGTGCGGCGACACTAAGACACGCTTTTATCTCATCGATCGACATGTGTTCCCCTTGGAATTATCGGTAGAATTTGTCGAAAGTCCCCTGCCAGCAATACATTCAAACCACCTATCAAACTTTTGTTTGCTACGCATGTCTATAGTACTTTCATCTCAGACAATAATTTTAGTTTTTTCTAATACTCCTGCAAATTTGCTCTGTTTTGAAATATTACATAATAGAGTTTCCACATATTTTAGGTTCAGTGGCAACTTTAAGCCCGAGGTGACTAATGCTACTCTTTATTACTGCTGTCCAGCAATAGCCTGCGAACGTCACCCAAGACGTTACTTGGTAGGTCTTCAAATACTTACCCAATAACTTCATTAGCTACAGTTCCCTCTTTCCGAAATATAGTAATGCATTAGGATTACTATTTTACGAGAAAATACCTCTCTCGCACTAGGGTAGTAGGTACCCACCTAACGGGGTCTTTGTAGAGCGACCATATGGAATGGTAGGGTGGCTTGGAAGTAATATCAAATGGCTTCTACTACTGTTTGAATTTATCTGTGATAATGGTATAATTGTTATGATTTTTGTGCAAAAAATCAATTTCCGTAATGAAAAAATGTAATACAGATTACGTGAAAAAAAAATGTCACAATAACTTAACTAATAAATGTTCAGAGCAAAATATCCGTTTCCTCGGCTTTCTTTAGCCGTGATTCTTACATAAATAACCTTAATAAATTAGGCAGAATTTAATGATATAAGTATCATTTGTTGAAAGACGCAACAATTTATTTTGAAACTAGCGGCCCGCCCTCGCTTCGCTTTGGTGTAGAGCTAAAGCTTAGACTACAGTTTTTGTTCTCAGGCTTGTATTACACACAATGACATTCATCTATGATTCTTCTTATACCTGCATGCAAAGTCTCAGCCCAATCGGTTTAAAATTGACAAAGTGTCATACAAACTTTCATTCCCTATTTTATTCCCTTGGGGTAGAATTGATCAAAATCCTTTCTTAGCGGATGCCTACGTCATAACATTTACCTGCATGCCAAATTTCAGGCCGATCCGTCCAGTGGTTTGGGCTGTGCGTAGATAGATACTATGTCAGTCAGTCAGTCACCTTTGAGTTTTATATATATAGATAGATAAAACGTTGATATGTCAGTTGTGCCGTCAGCACAATATCCATCGCAGGTAGCATCCGTGATAAACAGTTAATAACTACTAATGAGAAAAAATCATAAGTTCCTGTTTCGTGAATTTCTGCAGTCAGAATATCTCCCCCACTAATTTCTTTGTTTATAGATTAATATATATACCTATATTTTTAGTTGTAAAAACCCAGTCAGAAATTATACTCCAATGCATTAACCAGTGGTGTTATTATATAACTACGATCAGGCGGGTACTACAGTAAGTCAGTCCATTTCTTCTTTTATATATTTAGATAGAAGAAGACAATTTAGGATGCGGAAACGAACATGGTGACGTTGTCTTACTACCTATGGATGGAATAGGTACACAATAAAAAAGTTAAACAACGCGGAAACAATAGTTCCAGATTTAGAAACAATTTATCGTCTGAAACATAATCATATCCATTTTACCCAACTTTTAGTTCAGTATTATGGAGTTTTCATTTCCTTACTTATCCATTACGATTTCCGACGTAGCGTCCGTTCATATCTTGTTACGTCGTTTAGTTGTGATATGACCCATGCATACAGAAGGCACCGAAGCAGAGCCTAATGCAGTGCGCGTGTGTGAGTGAGCACTGACTTTTAACATTGGAAATGTTTTTTTGTTCGCACCAGTAGGCCCCCATTTTCACTGAAAGTGCGACTCGCCCGTGATACCCCGAGGTTTAGGGCCACGAGGACGTATTAGGGCGCAAAAGACGAGGAGTTTGAAGGGCTTTAAGAAGATAATTTTGGAAAAGTCAAGAACTCATTTGGAAATCGAAAAGAACCGACGTTTTTCGTCCGAAAAATCGTGTTTTCACAGAAAATTTCCGATATCTCGACAAGGGGACCGAATTTCAAAAATATGAAAAAAAGCATACATTTTAGGCCATTACACTTTTTTCGATATTAGTGACGGTTGAGGGGGGGATTTTTGGTTTGAAAAAAAAATTTGTTATTTTAGTAAATTTATGATTTTTATTTATTATTTTTTTACCACTGGCCAGTATACTGATTTATATTCCGAAATATAAATCAGTATACTGGCCAGTGGTAATGACGTCACGAATCCGACGCCATATTGTACAGGTATGCTACCATATTTTTACCGGGAAAACGAAAATGACGTATGACCGAGCGTGCGTGAGATGCATTCGAATTTTAATTCCTTTTTTATTTAAAAAACAATAATGGCATCCGAACAAAAAGAATTCCTTTTAATTGATGAGGTGAATAAAAAAGTCTTCTTTATTCGCACAATTTTTAATATTTCGTCGATTTATGACGTCACTGCACTGGCCAGTATATTTCGGAACAATTCACCAGAATAGCGTCGATTTATGACGTCATTAGCACTGGCCAGTATACTGGTATATATTACGGAATACACCCTCTGATTCCATTGGCACCGTGTAATCGCGCCATAACGCGACAAGTGCCAGTGCTCACCCACACACGCGCAATTGTATAGAGCTTAATGTCTGTGCCTTGTATACTCCTAAGGCCGTATACAGAAAGAAAGCCGAAAGCCGGTCGGCGCCGATCGGCGCTTATCGGCGCCTATCGGCGCCGATCCTTCCTACATAAAGGAAGCCGATTAAAGCAGATCAAGCAAAATGTCGGACTCATCGGACGATGATTTGGTTTTGTTAGAAAATGTTTATTAAAAAATGCGAAAAACAGCTATACTTCCTATAAATAGAGAAAGGAAACGTTTCGAAGAATACCATCATTTATTTGTAAAAAAAATTAAATTTGATGAACAAAGATTTTATACATATACAAGAATGATTCAAGAAACATTTTATTACACTTTGGATTTAGTGAAAAACCGTTTTATTAAAATATTTATTAATTATCGTTTTATTATCGTTTATTAATTTATTTATTAAAATTGGGCCAATCGGCATAAACAACCAATCCTTCCAGAAGAAAGACTTGTTGTCACCATTCGGTAAGTACGAAACAATTAATTTTAGCGCTTAGTTAATAAAAAATAAAGTTATTAGATTTATAAAAAGATTATAACTTAGATTGATTTAATCTAAGGATAATAATTCAAATACAAATTATTTATTATTCGGACCAGCGCGTGTCGGCGCTTATCGGCGCCGGTCCATAGAAAAAGGATCAGCGCCGATAGGCGCCGATCGGCTTTCG